CTACATAAGGGCCAGAAAATTGATGTGACCGTCGAGTTTGTGGCCAGTTAGTTCATATTCATGAATACTACTTCTATAAGACTGATATAACATAAATTTATATTTGAATATAGACCAGGACACTACAAAGGCCGAGATCGACTTAATAGCCAAAGTGGGTGAACTGGAACTACCCATCCCGGCCCCCGACAAGGATGCCTGTCACTTCATGAAGTGTCCCATTAAGAAGGGAGACACCGTTACACTGAAATACCCTGTTACTATTCCAGCTATAGCTCCAACGGTTAGAATTTATTTACAAATTTTTATTTATGTATGAGTTATGATATTTGTATTTAATTTTCAGATTGAGGCCGATGTTACTGCCAAACTAAAGGGTGAGCATGGTGATCTGGTATGTGGTACTGTGCATGGCGATATCAAGGATTAATTTCTTGCTTAAATAAATTTATGTTAAACTTTTATATTTAAAAAATTTTAAACTTCATTTAAATATTTAAAATGCTCTTTTATGTATATTTGCATAAAATATATATTTAATTCATTTATCATATTATTTGTCAAACAAATACAATTAAATGAATGAATTGAAAATGTTATAGTGTTTTTATGGTGTTTTTAAATTGTTTCAAATTATTATTACATATTATTGTTAGTATTCAATGGTAAATATCATTTATTATTCAATGTAACACAGCTTTGCAAAATAATACTAAATAAGTCTTCAAATGATAATTAATGTATATATTGATTGAAATATTAATCAAAATATAACATTAGACTAATTAAAAACCTTGTGTTAGAGAATGGACACACGAGTTGAAAACATAAATTGATTAAAATTTAAAATAAATTAAATGACATTGCTTATAACCAGAGTTATAAATCATTGAAGACAAATAAACAAATAAATCGAGAAACTAATTGAAATAAATTTTATTTTATTTATTCATTAAAATTAATTTTAAAAATGTATTGAAAAATGAATATCTAAAAAACAAAATACGAATCTAAAAAATGTACATAATTGTATTTTTGATTGTTTAGTAGTTTAACAAATGGATCGTAAATAGTCTTAAAATTGAAACAAGCACGAGATAATATAAAATAAATCTTTGATTTCTTATATAGTTTTTTGGTGTGAGAAAATCCATAATAAATATTTTTGTTGATAATTGCATTCAAGCGGCGACTTTAATGTCGAGAATAAGATTTTTATTATAATTGTT